CTGTCCCATCACTTAGCTGGGCTCCCCATCACTGCTGCGCTCCTCATGGGGAGCCCCATGGGTGACAGCAACCTTGCCGCTGAAGGCAGCTCCCCCATCGCTCACCCTCACCTTTTGTCGGGGTGCAGCACCGATGGCACCCATCAAGCCTGAGGCTTCCCCACGCATGGCTTTTCCCCCGAGGACACTCACCCTTAACTAAAAAGCCCTCCAATGACCTCTCTGAGAGGGGTGGGTGGGTACCACTGGGAGAGCCCCGCTCCCTGGCAGCACTCCTTGCTCGTGGGTTTTTCCACATACACACATGTGTGCACGCAGGAGGTTGCAACGCTCATAACCCTGCACGCAAGACCGTTTCTTTTGCCGTTGCGAAAAAGCCACATCGTGTCTCAGCTGGTGCAAAAGAGCCATTTGTTTTGGAAACAGCTTTCAGTGACTCCCTTGCCAAGTCGGCGGGATGCTGGCTGTCTTTCCCTGGGGCTGCTGGGGTCTCCGTAGGGTGGGAGTAAAGAAGACAGCCAAGCGGGGATGGGCTCACCTGCAACTGAGCTGTACCTATAAACACAGCGGGGACGAACAGGCTGTCTGACGCAGCATGCTGCCGGGAAGGGTGAGGGGTGAGAGGACCCCCGTGGTGCAAGCCACTTGGTTGCCTGGCTTGTGACCCCTCCACGGCATCATGGGGCAGGCGGTGCCTCTTGGTGGCTGACGAAAATCAAGTCATTTTCTGAAGGGAGGGGAGGCACCCGCACCCCAGTGATTGGAAAGACATCTGTGACTGCTTGGAAAGTTATTTTTGCTACATGAAAGGCTGGGATGTGAGGACAAGGCCTTCTCCAGACAGTATCACCTCTTGGCTTCCCTGCTAGTACAGCTCATTTATTTGGCTTGGCACCGACTATCCGACCTGCGTAGCTGCCAGGTCCACCATGTTATAAGGAGCTGCTGATGTCAGGAAGAGCTTTTGGCCACAGGAGAGCCCTGCAGATGTTGTCCAGGTGGTTCTGCTCTCCACGAACATTTAGGAATAGTCAAGCAATGTAACAATTTTATGATGATTCTTTTTCTTTCAAAACGTGACTGGGATTCCTATCAGGCACTGGAGCAGGAGCAAAGGGTGGGCAAGGTGTGTGGCTTGGGCTGGCAGTGCAGGTCGGAGAGGCGCCAGAGGAGCAGGACCCTGTGAAGCGTGGATGGAATGAGCACTCCAGACCAGCTTGGAAATAGCTGGCAGGGCAGCAGATGGGGCCGAGCAGAGGGAGAGGTGTTGCCTGCTCACGTTCCAACTCTTGTGGTTCCCACATTTCAGAATTTTGACTGGGAACTGGGATCCAGCTGAGGCAAAGAGAGACACTTGCTGGAGGGGTGGCTGCCTTGAGCAAGCCCATGACAACAGACGCCCCAGTGGGCTAGCTGAGTGTGGCTGCTCCCTGCCCTACACGCTCCCAACAGGGGCGATGAATCACAACCTGCGGATGCCTCTTCCTCAAAAGTACTCCCAGCCGAATCAAGGCAAACACATCCAGACCCAGTGCAGTTCCCCCCCCTGCACCATGCTGCTGAATGGGAAGCTCAGGCCACATGAAAAAATGAGCTTATGCCCCTTGCTTGGATTAGGGGGGCATTTGGATGCCCAGGGTACAACCTGCTCCTTCATTCTCTCCCAGATCCGTGGCTGTACGTGGCCTGGAGGACACGTGGACCCTGCCAGCACCATGCCCAAGCCCACCTGGGGCAGGAGGAAGGGCGTCATCCTCTGCCCACAAACCTGCTCAACCCACCGGGTGATGTCAGAGCACCCCGAAGCCTGCTAGCAGGATTAGAGGCTGCCGTTTTCCTTGCAAATGCTTCTGCTGCCACATCCCCTCCCAGCCTCTCTGCCACAGCCTTGCCTTTGCTACCTTAGTCCCTCTTCCCGGCCTATCCCTACTCTCTTTCTCTGGACCTACACACCTTTTCTGCACAGGTAAGTTGTTAACTTCTCAAGAATTTGAAGAACCCCAGATCTGCCAAATGAAGATCCAGAAAGAGATTCTTACTTCTGCTCAGATGTCTCTTACCTTTAAGTGGCCTTTATTTATGTGGGAATTACAACTGAAAGCAACAGAGATGTAGGGTCTGCTCAAAAAAAGCAGGGTTTGCAGAGGGGTCTTCCCGGTTTTCTTTGTGAAGCTCAGAGTCACTTGCATTACTTGTTCATTTTGCAATTTAATAGAGAGAGAAATCTCAGTCAAGTTGCCTTAATGTTTATTTTATTTAAAGAATCAGAAACACAGTCATTGTAGTTCATTTGTACTCATATCCGCCAACATTTTCTAAATCACGTTAACATTCATGTATAACAAAAACATTTTCTGAGCTGTGCAAACTTCAAAGGAATTGTTCAATTACTTGAACCCATTTCTAGAAGAGCAAACCTGGCATTTTACAAACTGAGGCCACTAGAAGGAGTCTTTTCTTTTCCTCGCCCTGTTGCAGGAGATGCAGATGCCCCCTCCTCCCCCTTTCCCTGGTGTGACAGGTAAAAATCAGACCACAGTACGAGTCGGACCTCTCTCAGTCCAGGACTTTCCAAATGGCACTGGGTCATGTTTTTGTATCGCTGAACTGTATTAAGTTCTGCACTTGTACTCCTGGCATGGAAGTGATTTGTCCAAGATTACTCAGTAACCCAAACCGTGACGATAAGCCAGAAACAGCTGTTATCAAAACAGAAACACCACACCCCCCCACCCTCCCACCCCCAATATTTTTCCTTGCAGGAGGTATGACTGGGAGCGCTGTCGTCCACTAAAAAAAACACCATCCTCCATGCAAAATATATTTTAAAGCACTGATTTCATGACATGACATCTGCGTGTTTTCCTTGATCTTCTCACACACCAACTTTTGTCCTGTTAGAGTTAAGCATGAAAAGGTGGAAATCTGGAACCATTTTAGATCTGGCTAAACACAACAGGCAGCAAGCAAGCTGTCACCCTGTTTCATTTTTCTGAGTGTAGTAAATACACCCACGGAACAGAATTTTAAGAGAGCTTTAACCACTGTAAGTTGTCAGAAAAAATCTCCTCGTCTCTGACAGATCTAACCCAGAATTTTTATTGGAATTGATAACACGCATTTTGGCATTGCTGACTCGCTGACTGTGCAGTTTACTGTTTGAGGTGCAGTGATACCAACTCTGATCTGGACCAAATAAGTGGAGCAGATATGGCTCTAGTCTCAAGCAAGTCTTTCAAGAAGACATTTCTTCAGTCTCTTATTGGTTATAAAAAGGCAATTTCCTCTCAACAGTAACTAAACTTTTAGTGGCTGACTCATTACAATCTGGAATATGAACAAATGCGGCAACATTAAGTATAAAAAGAAACACCCTGAAAATGATGCCTCCCTGTTTGAAGGTGCTATACTTGGCCATGGACTGTGTTTCTGGAATCTGTTTGTTACATGTGACATCAAGAAGAAACTTATTTTACAGAGAACAAAGTCACGGAGCTGAACTCAAATAGGAACGCTCACTTACATGGGTTTTGATATGTACTAGTATACACGGCTTGAATGAAAACAAAACTTACACCTTCGCGTATGAAATACCGGTAACGCAGTAATGATGTTCACCCACTGGGCCTCTTCCTTTCAATAAGATCATCTCCAGGTTACAGTGCCTCCAACATGCTTTTAAACGACCACCACATGTGGGCTTTGGCAAACAGCCAGCCGCGGGCAAAGGCAAGGTACGGATACAGCTACGAAAAGCCTTTCATCACGTTTCATTCCTCAAGAGCCGATGTCTTTTTAAATACTCTCACAATCGCATTATAGAGTTTCTTTCTCATTCTGTTTCATACGAATAACTGGCTAAACTCGCTTTACATTTATTGCACCTTTAAGTCCCTGGTAGATGGAAGCTTATATTGCCTGATACGGTTTGTATTGTAGCTTGACCACATTAAGAAATTAAACAGTCTCCAGAACTGTACATTTCTACAGTACGAAATCACATTTCGATAATGCTAATTACAGCCGTCGCAGATCAGCTCTCGTCCCTGTGATGCAGCGACAGAGGAAAACTCCACGGTCCCGGTGTGTGCTAGAACCTGCAGTGTTCTTCTTATTGCCATGAAAAAGTCAATTAAAACGACTCCTCTGGGAATGGCTTCCAATTCTGGAGTAATTATCACTCTCCAGACAGAGCGCTGTGCTTCAGTGTGGGTCTTCATCCACTCTAAATACGGAGGAGAGAGCGAGCGCGTGCATGTTGCTCAGGCACGCTCCTCCAGTACATTTACCAGTGACCAAGCAGCTTTTCCTCTTTTCCCCCATGAAGCACGAACAAGCAGTCTGATCTCGATCTTCAGGTACGTTTCTAATTCCATATGTTGAATGCAAATCTTGTTGTAGCCTCTCTGTTTAACCAAATCTTTAACAATTAAAAAAAATAGCACCAGATGTATGAAAAAGAGGAAATGTCTGATCTAGTAGGAATATATATAAAGTAGAGCAATTCTTACAGTAAAAAGGTACATCATACAAAAAAGCAATGGAAAGTGATACTGAAGGACAAAAAATCCATGCTGCATATAACAAGGGCAAAAGACAGGCAAAAAGGATTCTGCTCAAATAACCACAGTTTCATGGTGGCGTCGTTCTTCCTCCAGGACGTCCCCGGCGGCAGCGCCAGGACGCGGGATGGTATGGGACTCTGAGCACTAACACACTCACTGACAAACTTGCGCAGCATATCTTTGAGGTATATAGAAAGCATGACATTAACGTTTTGGACTCCTCATTCTTTCTTACACAACGACGCACCGATCTTTAGCTGGGGTTTTCTCTACCCTCCCCTCCCTCTTTTTCCCTCAGGAAAAATGAAATCCCAGTTTAAAAGCTTCCTAGCACACTTCCTTGAACTCTCAAATCTATCTTGCATAGGCCAGTAATAAGAACACTGCAGCTCTGACAAATAAGTTACAGCAATATAACAACTTTCCTCTTAATTTTTTTTTAAAGATATCTTCTCTATAATTTACACAAAGGGTTAACAGCCGGAGTTTAGGTTACGTACAGTCCAGATGGGCATCCTTTCAGTCTGTGATTCCAGGTGGAAGGCACTACTTCAACATACCACTGTATGCACCGCACGCGGTCTCAGGAGCACAGCCGGACACTGCGCCTCCAGAGCTGTAGACTGAAGGGCCTGGGGGGGAGTCTTTGGAAATAAAAATGGCAGTGGTTATCAGCCCAGTTTCTCTTTGTTGTCTCTTCTTGTGCTATGCAGTTTCCCCTGAAAGCTCCTCCAGTTGAGAGAGCGGCGAGCCGTCCTCAGAAGCTCTCGACAAAGCTCCCAGGGAAGAGGCCCGTCCTGCCATTCCTCTGCAACGTCCCTTTGTACCAGCCATCCTCCCGTTTCTTGTGCACAAACACAATGTCACCTTCCTTCAGTTCGATCTCAGCCTCACTCTGCGGCGGGTACGGGACCACAACACGGTACCTTTGGAGACAAAAACGCAAAGACCTGGTCAGCCAGCGGTGGAGCCTGTGCCTGATGGGAGGAGCAGCCAGGCACCAGAACCAGAAATCCTGGGGGAAAATACTTTTGGGAACATCAATAAGTTACATTTTTGCACACCGATTGTATCCGATGCAGCTAAATTTTCTACAAAAACTCAGTATGATGGGGAGATTTCTGGCCAGCTTGACTGGAGACTTGACCAGGATATATACTCGAGCCAGGCTGTGAAAGCAGGAAGGTATTGTCAAATGGCTGGACTACTCCCAGTAGTCCCTGCTCCCAGTTGCATGCTGAGCCTGTGCTAGGGACTCAGCTGCTTTCTCCTGGTGCTGCATCTGCCTCTGCTGTAACGTGTCTCATTCAGCACTGCATCTGCACCATCCAAAGATCACAGAACCATAGAATGGTTTGGGCTGGAAGGGACCTTTAGAAGCCATCTAGTCCCACCCCCCTGCAGTGAGCAGGGACACCTTTAGCCAGATCAGGTTGCTCAGAGCCCCGTCCAACCTGACCTGGAATGTTTCCAGGGATGGGGCTTCTACCCCCTCTGTGGGCAGCCTGTGCCAGTGCTTCACCACCCTCAGTGTAAAAAAATCCCTTCCTTACATCTAGTCTGAATCTACCAGGCCCTACTAAAAAGATTGCCCCCACCTTTCCTGCAGGCCCCCTTTAAGCACTGGAAGGCCGCTATGAGGTCTCCCCGGAGCCTTCTCTTCTCCAGGGTGAACAACCCCAACTCTCTCAGCCTGTCCTCATAGGGGAGGTGCTCCAGCCCCCTGACCATTTTTGTGTCCCTCCTCTGGACCCACTCCAACAGGTCCGTGTCTTTCTTGTACTGGGGACCCCAGAGCTGGACACAGCACTCCAGGTGGGGTCTCAACAGAGCAGAGTAGAGGGAGAGAATCACCTCCCTCAACCTGCTGCACATTTCTTTTGATGCAGCCCAGGATACAGTTGGCTTTCTGGGCTATGACTGCACATTGCCGGCTCATGCCCAGCTTTTCATCCACCAGTACCCCCAAGTCCTTCTCGGCAGGGCTGCTCGCAATCCCTTCATCTCCCAGCCTTTATTGATACTGGCAGTTGTCCTGATCCAGCTGCAGGACCTTGCACTTGGCCTTGTTGAACTTCATGAGGTTCACATGGGCCCACTTCTCAAGCTTATCCAGGTCCCCATGGGCGGCATCCCATCCCTCAGGCATGTCAACTGCACCACTCAGCCTGGTGTTGTCTGCAAACTTGCTGAGGGTGCACTTGATCCCGCTGTCTGTGTCATTGATGAAACTATTAAACTGTACTCGTCTCAATATAGACCCCTGAAGGACATCACTTGTCACTGATCTTCATCCAGAGACTGAGCTGTTGACCACTACTCTCTGGATGCGACCATCCAACCAATTCATTATCCACCAAATAGTCCATCCATCAAATCCATATCTCTAATTTAGAGAGAAGGATGTTGTGGGGGATGGTGTCAAAGACCTTACAGAAGTCCAGATAGATGACGTCCGTAGCTCTTCCCTTGTCCAGTGATGATGAAAAATGGGTTTTACAATGCTCTCACCAACTGCTTTTGGTAGCAGCAGAGGTTAGCTAAAGCAGTTCACATTTTTCTTCCTATTATGTTTCTTGAGAATGTACCGTGGGTCCCTCAAACCTAGAAGGCAAGCTGAAAGGGAGAGATATCAAATGACTTTTGAAGCACTCTCCAAACCAACAGGAGGACCCTGTCCTGAACCATTCACAGGGCTCTCTAGGAACTTAGTTTTCAAGTGTCACTTCATTTCAATGACGGGACTTGATCCTGATATGGCTATTGTGCACTCAGGCTTATCAGCAGACGTCCTCCTGGGAGCACAGACTGGACCCTTTTTATATCAACACACTTGCGTGCAGAGCAGGGAATCTGTTTCTGCTGCACTGTTTTTTTTTTTCTTCAGCGCATGTACTTTTGCACTCATCTGGCATTTGGTTAACCGTCAATAACTGTCTTGCTAATTGCAAAGTAATGAATATAGCAGGATAGTTAAAAGATGACAATTGATTACCTAAAGTCCATCTCCTCAGGATTAATATTTCCACAACCACTGCACGGCCATTGATGCCTCAGTCGTGTTTGTTACAAGGCGAGTATTTATTTAAAATAATATTCTGTCCTTGAGGACTAACTTCAACATGCCCTGGAGGCTCTGGACCACTCCTTGAGGCCATTCCCAGTAAGATGGTACCAAAGCAAGGGGCTTTCCAGTGGCAGTCACTGATTTTCTTTGCAAACGTTGCTCAGGTACCTAGTGACTGTAGTTCTGAAACTAGGGACTCCAACACGACAGTGAAAACACCAACTGTGGCTTTATGTTTGGACATCCCATTACTTGGAAAAGCATTAAACTCCATTTGGAGTGAGGATTCTGCTCTAAACCCTGACTACAGCCTTTTTATCTTGACACAGCAACACAGTCATGTAGAAAATATAAGTGTTTAAGTGCCATCAAAAATCTGCCCGTCATCTCTGTCCCTTGGTCAATAAATTTAGTTGTCACTTCCTTCCTCTGTGGAAAAGATAATAACAGAGGTTGAAACGTGTGCTGCTGGCTGGCTGCAGGAAAATGGTCTAGAACGCTATCATCTGTGGAACTGCTACACTTATATTATGAAGCTTTGCCAATTACAGCCATTATGCAAATGAATGCACACATTATTTCAAACACTCCGGTGCAGTGTTGATTAATTAAATTATCAGAGTGGAACAATTTTAGCTAAGATGATGCCAGGTTTCAGATCTCACAACTCTGTGCACAATCACAGCGCATCAGGGCTCTGCACCGGGATCTCAAGAGGCTTTGAGAAAGAAGTTTGGACCTCAACATTAGTCAAGTGGTGCGGAGGTACTCGCGGACCCTTTTGGCAGATCAGGAAACAGAAACACAGAAAAAGGTGGTGTCTGGGGCAGGGTCACCCTAAGGACCCAGCTGGGACTGCCAACACTCATGTCATACCTTAGACACAGAGCCATCCTTTTAAAGGCAGACTACATCCTTGGAGTGAGGAGCTGCTAGTCCCTAAATGGTTCACATGAGGAGGGAGGTGACCACGCTCAACAGGAATGTGCCCATCGTCATAAAAGGGGTTCTACACAGCATCTCCTTAGAGATTTAGAAAAATAAATCTCAGTCACTGCATTACCAAGTGAAGTACTTTTTCCCATTTAAGGAAACCCCAAACGCTATGGTTTAAATTTAATTAACCACGGTACCTCCTAGGATATCACTGAAGTGTTTTTGATAGAATAACGAAATCTTAGATACGAAAGACCTTGCAAATTGGTTAAGAAATCCTCCATGAGAGATGGAAAAAGATGCTATGCTTTTTCCCTCGAGAGGCTTTTGAAGTGGGGCCTGGGAGAGGCATCCCAGTGACGGCTGCAGCACGGCACCGCTGCTTGTGCCGCCCCTCCAGACCTCCAGGTGGCATCTCAGCCTAGTTTATCCTCCGGAACCGAACTGCAAATAGAGATATTAGCCATATTTTTTTTGGTAGAAAAGATCTCTTCTCCCAGACATCATCCCTCACTCCCAAAAAGGCAGTCCTATGTACTTCTATTTATATCTCCCCTTTTCGTTTCCCCTTTCGCCCCCTCTTTGAGAAGCTACTATAAAATTGTACGTTTTCTTACACTAAACTGCTTCCTGGCATTTTAGATGGATCTCAGAGCCGTCTCAATTTTGTCTGTATCACATTGCACCTTTAAAACACCAACTTTTAAAAATGCTAATTAGCTGGGCAACAATCATGATGACAAGTGCGGCAACCACCTCTGCCTATTATTAACAATGTTTGGTATTTTCTGTTGTAAATTGTACTCTCGGATAGTTGTAATTCTGCCAAATGTTAACCATATTGGCCCAAACTCTCCACAGCGTCTGACTGTGTCAGGCTGAGGGTCGACAATCAGCCCAAATGGTCCCATCACCTCCAGGAGGGTAAGGGTGTTTTTGCAGCATCAGCAGGACTCAGGTGAGGGCTTCCACAAGCTCCTCGCAGCTCCCCATACTTGGGAGTAAAGATCCATCCTGTGGCCCCACTGCTTTGTCAAGGACGGTGTTCCTTCAGAAAATTACCTGCTCTCAGCCAGGTTAAAAGCATTCAAACTGCCCCAAAATGGTATATGCTTAGTGGAGGCTTGTATGAGCACCGAAGGTGAAATCTCTGCTGATTCATGCTCCAAGATGTCCTAGCTCTGTGGGACCTCAGAGGTCGCATTTCTCTTCCTCCCCTAGAAATGGGCTTCTCTCCTGTTTTTCTCTCAGGGCACATACCCAGTGCTGGACTTTCCCACTGCTGGCTGCTGTGGCATCCTTGGACTGGGCACTTCACCCCTGGAGGGGACTGTCCAGGATGGGCAGTGGCCTGGGGAAGGTCCTTGGAGCTCAAGAGAAAATACATGAAGAGAGGCTGCGAGTAGTACCAGTAAGGATGGGGGACAGGGTTTGCCTGGGCAGGGAAACCTCAAGGAGTTGGAAAGCAGGGTAGGGTGAGGGGGGGCATGGAGGAGGAGGGAAGCTGATGGAAGAAAAACTGGGAGCCAAGGGAGAAATGGGACCATGACGAAAACTGGAAGCCCTGATAGAAGGTGCAGGTATGGCTAACGGGGGGGTGGCAACTCTGCTGACCAGAGGCTGGGAGAGCAAAGAGCCTTGGTGGGAGGGAGCCTGTGGCTGGGGCATGACATCTCGTGGGGTGGGAGACTACATGGGTAGAGGCTGGCACTGGGGCTGAGGGTGGGACAGGGACCCTGGCAGCAATTAACTCACTGAAAGCTGGGAATGGGTCTATCATCCCTGTCCCTCTGCTGTCAGCAAAGACCCGGGTATCCTCCCGTCCACTGTCTTCACAGCACTCGTCCTTGCAGTCAAAAGAAACACCTCTCCCACCCAGCTCTCACTTTGGTACCACTGCTGACATCTGCAAGGTGCAGCTAA